TGGAGCAGGTGCTGTGGGCGAGGCCAGCTGCGCGGGCTAAGGTGGACGCGACTCAAGGCGTCGCCTGGCCGAGCACATATGAGTTCGCCTGCGATGGAGTGGTGGTGGACGATCGAGTTCATCATAGTGCGGCACCGCTCGCTGGTGCGCAATGGCTCCGACCTGGATCAGCAGCATCGGTGCGTGCTCGCTCTCGGCTCCATGGTCGCGCAGGCTCTTGAGCAGCCGCGCGCCGTCATCTTCGACAGCAAGTGCACCGCCGAAGAGGCCGACTACTGGATATACCTGATCTTGCTGCCCAGTGGCGAGGCAGATGTCACAGTTTGGATGAGATAGTGGAGGTCGCCGAGAGTTGGGTCGGCCGTGCGTTTGCACACCCCATGGCGGCCGCGCCCCAGGCGCACGTCAAATGGGCAATGTGGGCCCACAAGCCGCGGTACCTCCACCAGCACGTGAAGGATCCAGGGCCCTTGGAGGACTTGGAGGTGCCGTGCGCCGCCGCGCCAGGAGCCACCTCGGACCCTCAGAAGGTGCAGCGGTGGGCCCCGATATGGACTGATGACAGCTCGCCGCGCGACGCTATTCTGGACACGATGGAGCACCTTCACGCGCCGAGCCAGATCGAGGCACTGCCGCCGCTCACTATTGATGATTTGGAGCCGTTGTGGTGCAAGCTGTCGAGTTCCAAGGCCAAGGGCGTCGACGTGCTTGGGCCGACAGATCTGCAGAGGTTGCTGCTGGCAGCCAAGCAAGAGGTCGTGGCCATCCTCAATGTTGCGGAGGACGTTGGCTCGCGGCCGCTGCAGATGCCGCTGACGCTTGGCGCCGCGCTGCCGAATCCAGCGGGTGGCGAGCGCATCATTGGTGTCCTCCCGAAGTTCATGGGCTTGTGGTCGCGAGCGCGACCGGGGGCCGCGGACCGCTGGGCTGACAGCAAGCGCGACTTCTGGGACACCGCGGCGTGCCATTCGCGAGCGTTGCGGGCTGCGCTTCAGCGGGCGGTCATGGGCGAGGCTGCCCACGAGCTGGGCTTCGCGGTGGCCGTGTTGCTGCTCGATCTACACACTATTCCATGATAACATCACTCTTCTGAGGCTTATGCAGGTTGCGTTATCCCAATGTTACCCTGCTGTCGTCGCTTTGTTCGAAATCCAGATGCTTTTGGCCCCGCGAGCGTTGAAATCTCGGGCCATGGCGGGCGAGTTTTTTTTTTTTTTTTTTTTCTCTCTCCCCTTTTCGGGGTTCGTTCCCTTTTCGGGATCATCAAAAGGGGTTTCGTTGGCCAAGTTTTTCTTGGGGCCCATCGTGGATGAGGCCCACAGGGTGATCGCCTTGAATCAAGCCAAGGCCTCGTCCGCCATCTGGACTTTTGCCGATGACACTGTTGCCCGGTTCGAAGGGAGGTGGGCCGAAGTTGTTGGCCAGCTGTCGGGGTTCGCTGGCTCGTTCGTGCGGTCGTTCGCGGATCACGAGCTCCCGATCTCTTCCAAGACTAAGTGAGTGGTCAACACTCCTGGATTGGGACCCGAGCTTTTGAAGAAGTTTAACAGTCTGGGGATGCCGGCCTCGCTCGTCGAAGCTGCGGTGGATTTGGGGTGCGATGTTGCGGGGGGCTCGCGTCGGTCGCGCGTCGAGCGCAACCAGCGTCTGAGCAAGGGCCGCTCCAGAGGTGCTCGTATCAATAAACTTAGGAAGCACGCGTCTCTCGCCAAGGCATCCCAAGGCCTGCGGCTGCAAGGGGCTTTGCCTAAGTCGGTGCATGGGCACCGGGCGATGGGACTTTCCGCATCTCCTATCCTTCAGTTGAGAAGGCAAGCGGCAAGCGGCCCAAGGCAGGCGATGCCTCACCACCGCTCTTGCGATTTGGTTCGGGGACAAGGATCCTGGTATCAGTCTAAGGACCCAGCTGGTCCGCTCCTGGCTCGACCTTTGGGACAAGCGCCCCTCCCTCCACCCTCGGATCGTGAGCGTCTGGCCATTGGTGGCCGCGCGTCTCGGGCGCGACCCCAAGTTTCGGCGGCAGAAAGTCCGAGGGCCCATGGGGGCGGGGTCGCCACCCTTAAAGACGGGGGTTGGCGGCCGATTTTTCCCACAGAATGGCGCAGGCCTATCGAGCCAGACACGTTTGAACCCTGGCAGTTTCCCGACGCCGCCGCTGACCGTGTCGCAGGCGATTTCGACGCAGCGGAGTTGGTCGGCGATTTTGTTGAGGATTTCATCGCCCAGCAGCGGCAGCAGGCTGCAACACATGAGCACGGGGACGATCTGGGCTCAGGTGCGGACGCGTCGGCCATTCGGCCCCAGCTCCATCGGCTCCTGTAACGGGAGGAAGTCGATCATATTGGTCAGTTGGTCATGGTCGCTGCTGGATGCCAGTGGCCTCATCAGAGGCAGCGCGAGCGGGGGTATTTAGTGTCATTGAAGTGCCCGCGATGCGGGGCCCCAGGGGGGGCCCTGTTCCATCGGATTTGGGATTGCCCTTGCAATGGGGAGGGCCCCGCCTATGTAAAATCCGAGCACTTGGTTTCCCAGGCCCGCGTCGGCCACGAGGCCGACCCGAGCTTCTGGCTGCGAGGGCCCCCGCCTCGCTCCTTCACGTGCCTTAATTTTCGGGGTGGGGGTGGCGTGGAGCGGGGGGGGGGGGGGGCGGGTGCGCGGGGCCGATCTCGGTTGCAGAGAGGACGGCCTTCTTCTCGTCTTCGGTGATGGCCCCGGCGGCCCGTTTAGTAGCGATCGTCGTCGCCGAAGAGTGGGCGCGGCCGCGATAACTCTGGCGCCAGCCTCAGGTGGCTGGATGCGGACCCGCGGCTTTGCCGCGACCCTTGGAGGTCGCCGTCAAAAGGTGCCCAGAGCCGAGATCCGCGCGTTTGAACTCGCGCTTCGCAGTTCCCCTTGCCCGATGCATTTCGTCACGGACAACGCGGCCCTACATCGTGGGTGGCATTCCAGAAGGCACGAGTTTTGCACGGGCCCCAACTCTGACCTCTAGTTTCATGTCCGAGCCGCGTTGGCCGATAGAGGAGAGGGCGAAGTCCAAGTTGCGTTGTGCCCGTCGCACGTTGACCCCGAGGACCCCGCGCTCTCCCCTCAGGAGCGGTTGTGTGCCACGGGCAACGGCTTTGCCGACATTCTGGCGGGGGACGCGGCCATATTTTCCTGGACACGTGGCCTTCAGGGCCAACGGCGCCCCGACACTGACCTGCGGCGGCGCTGGTTAGGCGCCGCGCGGCCAAGGCCATGGTGGACTCCATCAGCGTCGCCCCCTGGTCCGCCGAGCGTCCTCCCGAGGCTCGTCGCGTTGGGGGCCTCACCGATGCTTTGCTTCGGAGCGAGCGCTGTTTGGTCAGGGCTGAACGTAAGTGGCTGTGCTCGTTGTGTCACCATGTTGCACCCGTGCATAAATTGCTGAATCTGCAGCGACTCCGCGTCATGCTGCTAGCCAGGACCTTTCGAGTCTTGCTGATCATGGGGTGGCGCGGGCCAGTGGGGCGGTCACTGTGGGGGTGAAGGTTCGTCATTCCTCGCATGTCCTGCACTTCTGGCCCAAATTTGGGCTACATTTTTGCTTGACGTGCGGTAAAACTGCCAGGGAGGACCCGCGTCATTTCGTTGCCTCCTCCTCCTCCTCCTCCTCCTCCTCCTCCGCCTCCTCCTCCTCCTCCTCTTCCCCCTCCTCGCCCTTCCCTTTTTCGGATCGCCTACGGCCCCGGGGGAAGCCGCCCACCGGCACCGTGAGTCCCAGCTGCACCCCTCCCCCGTTTTTGTCCGGACCAGCGCAGCGCAGTCGGACTGTTTCTTCCCGCCGCGCAGGTGGTCGACTACACGTAAGAGTGACCCTTCGCCGGAGTGACCACCGGTGCGGGCCCATTGGGGCCCCCCGAATGCCGAACGCGGCGCTGTAGTAGCGTCTTGCGCGCTTGTGTTTGGTCCAATCGCGCCCCTCGAAAAGCCGCGCACCAAAGGTCACTCCTGCGTAGGGTCACTCGATCTTGCGTGTAGCCGAACTTCCCGCCGCGCAGGTGGGGACGCCCAGGGAAGGGAGAGTGTGCGGGTGCGGTCGGAGCAGTCGGGTGGGCGGTCGGGTGGCGTGGCAGGGTGGGAGGGTATTGCGCAATCTGGAGTGCGTGCGCATGTACGCGTGTACGCTCGAATTCACACTAGCGCGGCGCGTGCGTGCATATGCGGCCCCAAACGCGGCATCCTACATGAATCCAGCGCGACCCCATTGAGGCTCGCCGCGGCCTGTCCCCCAAGCAATTCAAACCAGTTCTGATCGATGCAATGCAATGCAATGCAATGCAATGTGCAGCATTGTTTGACACTGCCTTGGATTGCTTGGCGTTGCTTGGCGTTACTCGGAATTGCTTGGACTTGTTGCTTGGCATTGCTTGGTGTTGCTTTGCATTGTTTCGTATTACTTGGCGTTGCCTAGTATTGTCTTGCATTACTCTGTGATGGCATTGTTTTGGACCGCTTTGTTTTGCTTGGCATTGCTTGGACAATGTGTTTGGCATTTATGTGCGTTGCTTTGCATTGTTTTGCACTATATTGCATTGCTTTGCTTTGCGTTGCTTGGCATTGATATGACTGCTTGTTCGGCATTGATGTGCACTGCTTGGCGTTGCTTGGCATTGCATGGCATTGTTCGGCATTGCTTGGCATTGCTCCGCGTTGCTTGATCTGTCATTGCGTTGCTTCGCGTTGCTTGGCATTGCTTGGCGTCGCTTGGCATTGTTTGGCATGTTCTTGCATTGCTTGGCATCGTGTAGTTGCATTGCCTGGCATTGCGCTGCACGGGCAGTCGCAAGCAATGGTCGCGCAACCCCGATCACCGAGCAACGCCGGCGGGGAAGGACCCCGCACCCACCGGTTTGTTCTCCACAAGCAAGTGAGGGCCCCTTATAGGCAAAGCCTGGTTGGGGAAGGGCTGGCTCATCACTGGCGCGGGCTGTATCCCAGGCTTGGTCGCCCCCCCCCTTCGCCTGTGCCTTTCCGCAGAGGAGCCCGACGCGTTCGTGGCCGCCAAGCTGAAGCAGCTGCGGAAAGCTGTCAAGAGGAGCCGCCCGCCCGCCTACACTCGGCTGTGCCGGTGTGCTTTCTCTCCTCATCCTTCTCCTGCTGCTGCTCAGCCTCACGACTGATCCTCTTCATTGTGATATTTGAAGGAGCGTTTTCTTCTGCTGCTGGCTAGGGGGGATCCCCCCGCCCTCCCAAAACCAGAGCGGGGCCGGGGGGTACTGGACCCCTCCCCCTGGGGAAATTATCCGAAGGTGCCCAGATACCCCCTCTGGGAAATTATTCGAGGGGTCCAGAACCCCCCCCTGGCGACGACGACGCCGACGCCGACGAAGACGCCGTGGCCGCCGTCGCCGGCAAACGGCGCTGACGACGAGGACGACGACGACGACGACGACTACGACGACGACGACGACGACGTAGGACGACGACCACGGCGACGACGCCGATGCCGATGCCGACGACGACGACGACGTAGGACGACGACCACGGCGCCGACGCCGACGACGACGCCGACGCTGACGCCGATGCCAGCGACGACGAAGACGACGACGATGGCGACGACGACGAAGACGACGGCGGCGGCGGCAGTGGCGGCGAAAGCGACGGCGACGACGACGACAACGAATACGACGAGGATGCTGACGCCGACGCCGACGCTGACGCCGATGCCAGCGACGACGACGAAGACGACGACGATGGCGACGACGACGACGAAGACGACGGCGGCGGCGGTGGCGGCGACGAAAGCGACGGCGACGAATACGACGAAGATGCTGACGCCGCCGCCGACGACGACGACCACAACGACGACAACGACGACCATGACGACGCCGACTACGGGGACGTGCCCGCTGCCAAGCCACGACGATCACGATCGTTAATGGGATGCGGTTCAAGTTGTAATGAGCCCTAGCATGTTCTGTTCAAGCTGGATCCAGCTCTATAAGTAGTCTATCAGAGCTAGATCCAGTCCCAGGTGGATTCCATCAGAATTGGAGCGAACTCTATTGGAATTCGATGAGTGCTAGACTGATCCCTAACAGGACTCTCTTAGGGCTGCATTGTGCTGTCCAACTATTCTATAGAGCCGGCGCCGGGCGCGGCCGCCAGCGCCAGGTGCGCCGCCGCCGCCGTTGACGATGTCGCCGTCGTCGACTTGCGTCGTCGTCGTCGTCGTCGACGTCGACGTCGTCGTCGTCGTCTTCGTCGTGTTCGTCGTCGTCGCCGTCGCCGTCGTCTTTGTACTCACTGTTGTCGTCGTCGTCGTCGTCGTCGTCGTCGTCATCGTCTTCGTCGTGTTCGTCGTCGTCGTCGTCGTCGCCGTCGGCGACGGCGTCGGCATCGTTGTCGTCGGCGTCGGTGTCGGCGTCGGCGTCGGCACGGGCGTCGTCGTCGGCTGCGGCGGCGGCGTCGTAGTCATCGTCGTCGTCGTCGGCCGCGTCGTTTGTCGGCAGCGACGTCGTCGTCGTCGTTGCCGCCGGGGGGTGGGAGGAATTCCTTGAATAATTTTCGGAGGGGTGGTGTTGGGGCTGGGGGGATCTGAACCCTTTCGAATAACTAATTTTCCCGGCGGGGGGGATGGGTCCAGAATCCACTTTTTGGGGGGAAGGGGGGGGTGAATGGGGGTTCAGGGAAGGGTGCGCTGGTTTCTGACCCCTTTTTCAGGGGGGAAGTGGGCGGGCCCCTGGTTTCTGACCCGTCTTCGTAGAGTTTTGTCAGGCCAGGGGAGGATGAGGAGAAGAAGCAACAGGAGCATGCCAAGGGGTCCCTGAGGAGGCTGGGGATGAGGAGGCTGATGCGGGGGCCTGGATGCGGCAGTTGATGTAAGGGGCGCAGATTGGGTGCGAGGAGGAGGAGGAGGAGCAGGAGGAGGAGGACGAGCAGGAGGAGGAGGAGCAGGAGGACGAGGAGGAAGAGCAGGAGGAGGAGGAGGAGGAGGAGGAGGAGAAGAAGGAGAGGAGGAGGAGGAGGAGGAGGAGGAGGAGGAGGAGGAGGAGAAGGAAGCGGATAATGATGGCGAGGCAGCAGTGGAGCAGGAGGAGGGGGCGGATCGGCCAGAACCGCGGCTTCAGGGCGCAGATGAACCTTGGGCCCTGTACCCCGTATGGTCCTCCGCGCTCCTCCCTCCTGCCCAAGGCTCGCTGTGCACGCGTCTTCGTCGTCGTCGTCGCCATCGTGGTCGTGGTCGTGGTCGTGGTCGTGGTCGTGGTCGTTGTGGTCGTCGTCGTCGTCGTCGTCGTCGTCGTCGTCGTCGTCGTCGTCGGCGGGGTCGCCATCATCGTCGTCGTCGCCGTCGGCGTCGGCGGCGGCGACGGCGGCGGCGGCGGCAACGGCGGCGACGTCGTCGGCGTCGGCGTCGTCTGCTTTGACCAGCGGCGGTGTGGTCTCTCACCCCACCCCATCGCGCTCCTACGAACGCGCTGGCACAGGGACGGCGCCGGCGACTTTCCCGTCCGGCCCAGCTCCGCTCAACACCGCTGCCCCGACCTCTCCCGGGGTTCGTGCGGGCCCGTTGCTCGAGGCGGATCCAGCCGTGGCGACCAGTAGCTTCCAGGAGGCCAGATGGGGACGAAGCGCGCCAGGATCGCCGCGGTAGTCTCGACTGCCTCTCCTCCGACAGCGTTCTTCGTCGCCGTCGAGATCTTGTTCGTCTTGGTGGTGGTTGTCGGCGGCGGTGGCGGCGGCGGCGGCGACGGCTGTGGCGGCGGCGGTGGCGGCGGCGGCGACGGCGTCGGCGTCGTCGGCGTCGGCGTCGTCGGCGTGGCTGTCGTTGTCGTCGTCGTCATCGTCGTCGTCTTCGTCGTCGTCGTTGTTATCGTCGATGTCGTCGGCGTCGTCGAGTTTGACCAGCGGTGGGGTCGCTCACCCCCTCCACCTTCATCTTCCGCCCCCTCCTCTTGTCGGCGGCGAGCGAGAGGGGAAGTGATCAGGAGACGGCCCGTTGAGAAGGTGGCGGGGCTTCTCAGGAGCCCTCCGGCCTCTGAGAAGTCCTTTGTGTCTTCGGAGAAGGCTTAGAAAGCTTTTCGGAAGGCCAGGGGGCTTCCGAGCCTTCTGGGAAGGCCAGCCCCTTCGCACGTTCCCTCCCGGCTTGCCGCCGATCCTGGACAATTAATCGTCTATCCCCCAGAGAATATGGAAAAATATGGGAAGTGGGGGGGAGACAAATACCCATAACATATGGGAACATCTGGCGAATCTGGTTATTTGTTCCTATTTATTTGTGTGCCCCAGGGCCCCTTCGAACATGAACTTTCGGAGCTCCGCGCAGATTTCTCTGATCTGCGCTGGGCCCCCCTTGCGGCGCCCCAGGCGCCACCCCTGACCCGCTCCACGCGCCAGGGGGGGGGGAGCCCACCGCGTCTCCAAGAGATCTGCGCAGTCGTAGTGGAAGTCCGAGATGTCGTACTCTTGGTCAATGTAGAGGTCTCCGTTATGGATGTCACTGTCGTGGAAGAGGTCTCTGTGGTCGAAGAGAGGGTCTTACTTGAACTCCCGGTGGCTGGCCTCCGAAAGCTTGCATTGATGCAGGCTGTTGTTTCCGTGCTCTCTGCTCCCGCTCCGGCTCTTCCGTTTCCCGCCTTCCCCCTCCTGCACGTGCACAGGCAGCTCGAGTGGTATTTCGGAGACGTCAACTGGGCGCGGGATTCTCATATACGGACTAGGGGGCATGGTGAGGAGGGGAGAGGAGCATGAGGAGCCACATTGATATAGTCAGCACTGAGAGGTGGGAGGTTGATCTATCCTCGCAGGCAAACTGTTTTGTTTTGGATGGGCCACGCAATACTTCACTGCTTGATCGACAGACTTGTAAGATGAGGAGGGGGAGCAGCAGATCAGCGATGGGGACAAAGCGGAGGGAGAGGAGGGGGGAGGAGGATATGTTGTGACTGCAGGCAGCGATGAGAACGCGCAAATTTATGGTCGTGGATCGTCGAAGACATGCTGACGTAATGGCCTAAGCGTTGTGTACTGTTTTGCCTGCTCGACCTCTCATCTGAGAACGTCACTGACCGTCGTCAGATTCGCACTCAAGATTGAACGAAGCCAGTGGCCCAGAATCGGCCGATATCGAACGACCTGCGCTGTCGGGAAGCCGCGCTCGTTCGAGGTCGAGCGATCCACGCGCTGTCAAAACCAACGCCGACGCCGTCGCGACAGGAACCCAACGTTACCCACTCTTCTCTCTCTCTTTTTCTCTTTCTCGTTATCTGTCTCTTTCTTTTTCTCTTTCTTTTTCTCTTTCTCTTCTCTCCCTTTCTCTTCCTCTTTCTTTCTCCAAGCTCCACCCCCCAAGGGGCAGTAACACGGGTCCACCTCGCTCCTCCCCACAGACCTTCCTGCCCGGACGGGGGTGACAGCCAGAGGACGATTTGGGGAGGAGGAGGAGGAGAAGGAGGAGGAGGCGGAGGAGGAGGAAGGAGGAGGAAGGAGGAGGAAGAGGAGGAGGAGGAGGAAATGGAGGAGGAGGAGGAAGAGGAGAAGGAGGAGGAGAAGGAGGAGGAGGTGGAAGAGGAGGATGAGGAGGAGGAAAGGAGGAGGAGGAGGAGGAGGAGGAGGAGGAGGACGAGGAGGAGGAGGAGGGGGGAGGAGGATGAGGAAGAAGGATAGGAAGGAGGAGATGGAGGCGGAGAGGAAGAAGAGGGAGGAGGCGAGGGAGGAGGAGAGGGAGGAGAGGGGGTGGGAAGAGGAGGAGGAGGAGGAGGAGGAGGAGGAGGAGGAGGAGGAGGAGAATGAGGAGGAGGACGAGGAGGAGAAGGAGGAGGAGGACCGGAGGAACGGAGGAGGAGGAGGAACGGAGTCGGAGGAGGAGGAGGAGGAGGAGGAACGCGACGGGGTGGCCGCACCTGGCGCCAGACATGCGCCCGTTCCGATTCTTTTTCTCGAGCTGCCCCTTGCAAACGTCTTCACCCCATCGCGCCGGGCGCTCCGAGGTGCCGGCCCGTGTCCTGCGCGCGTGGCAGTCAAACGTTACGGAGTGACCCTTCGCCAGAGTGGCCTGATGCGCAGCTTTCGGTGGGGGCGCCGGTGGTAAGGGCTTCGGGATGCGCGCAGACATCGGGGCTCAAGAGGCCGGGGTCAATGCAAACGGGGTTCAGTCGGAGCGCCCGATTTTGCAGGATCCAGCAGGGCCAGCGCTGCACTGGCCCAGGCTTTGGTGCAGGATCCTGCAGGGTCTTGCAGGGCCTTGCAGGATCCTGCAAGGCCCGACTGACCGGCGTCTGGATTGGCCCGGGTCAGTAGGTCCCCGAAGACAGCCCCCCAGGAAGTTCCGATTGGCCTCAACAGGCCCCCCAAGTAGCCCGGCGTGGTCTCAACACCCTGGCGCCGCGTCCCAGGGTTGAGGTGCCGAGATAGCCCTTGACTAGGGTAGGTTCGTGCTGCGATGGCGCGCCCGCGACGCCGGCGAGGGCGTTCGAGGTTGAACTCCGAACGATAGAACGAGGCGGAAGCATTGAGGGGCACAGCAACGCTACAGGACCCGGCGGAATTCAACCTTGAGCCATCGGGGCCGCCATCGACTCAAGGTCGAACGATCGACGAGGTGTCAAAAACATTTGCGCGCGCCGACGCTGCACGAACCTGCCGTATTCGGGGGGCCTGCTGCGGGGAACGAGCACTGACCAAAAAATGAACATTCGGAGGTCCGCGCGGACCTCCAAGTTTTACGTCTTGTCATGGCCGTCTTCGTTCCTTCCTCCTGCACGCCGGACAACTCGCCCCTCGGCTGCCCCGATTCGCCCCGCGCTGCTGCGGACTGCCCTTGCCGCGCCGCCGACGGATCAAGCCTATGTGTCCTTGTTCGTTCCCCTGCTGCTGCGGCCAGCTGGGGTTGTGGAGGACGATCAATGGAGGGGAAGCATGCTGCCAAATCATTTCCAGATGTCTGAAACATGTGTTAAGCGTGTTTTGAACATGTAAAAAGACATGCTCAAAACATGTTCAGAACATGTTTCCGACACTGTAAATGCATGTTGCATTCAAGGACCGGATTGTCAGGATGTCCGCTGTCGTGGCATCCACAAGCTCATGTGTCCTTGCTCGTTCCCCTGCTGCTGCGGCCAGCCAGGGCTGCCTGCGGGGCTGCCCGTGCGCAGCCCTGCAGGCCTCGCCGGGTGGCGCCGGCGCGGGGGGGCCAGGCCCTGGCACGCAGGCCTGCTGCTGCCGCAGCGCGTGCGGCGGTCGGCGGGCCGCGCGGCAGAGGGTCGCTCCCGCTCCGGGGTCGCCCTCGCGCGTGCAGCCGCCACGCCCTTTTCCCTCGGCCTGGAGAGACGTCGTAGATCGCATCGTGTGGTCAAGTGTTCTGGAATGGTCAATCGGCTCCAGTTTCCCCCCCCCCCCCTCCCCGCCGCCGCTGCCTCCTCTCGCCTCTCCCCTCCTGAACCGCCGTGCTCCATCTAGCGCATCATGGTCATGGGTTTTCGCTTGCTGTTTCGCCATGCCAAAGCTTCACACGGCAGCCGATTCACATATGACACCTATGCGTGGCCAATGCGCCGCCCGGCGCACGGTGAGCTGTTCTGTTCTGCTCTGCATGCCGGCCACTTCGCTGTGCAGTGCCCTTGCGTCGCTGCTGCGCGGGAGCGGATCGTCCCGCCTCGCCGCCGACGGAGAAAAGTGTGGCCACTGCGCGTGCCCAGAGCCGGTCGAGTCATGGAAAGATCACGACGGGAGGCTCTTCGCCATTTTTGGCCTCTGGCCAGGGGGGCCTCACCGGGCCCCGGGGACCGTGGCAAACCGACTCGGGATGAAGGTCCAGGGGAACAAGTCGAGACCTCTTGGGGCCGACGTTACACGAACAAAATCATGACGTCGGGGGTGTGGGTGCACTGCCAGGTCACTTCAGCCCCGGCTAGCCGCTCCGGCGTGCTTACCCTGAAACGCTTTCAGGCGTGAGTGCTCTCCCCCTCCCTCCTGTCCCCCGCGGCCGCCTCTCCTCCCGTGCGCCCTCCCTTGCTGCCGGGCAAGTCGTTTGTCGCGCGCCCCCGACGACTCGAGCGCCTGTGCGGATTGCCTCAGCCGTGCTGCGACGAAAAAACTATAGCCGAGGGGGGCGTCGCGTGCGGGAACACACACTGGCATCCACGACGTCGCGGGCCAGGCCCCTGGGCCGCGACCCCGTGGATACGGGGCGTCTCTTCGTGGATGCCCCGCGCGGAGCGTATTCGTGCGACCGCGGATCCACGGGATTGCGTCTTGGGATTCAGGATTGCGAGGGCGTGGCTATGGATAGATGGCCAAGAAAATTTGCTTCGCGTCCACCACGCCCGGCGCGACACGCCAAGCTCATCCTCATTGCCAATTGTCAATGCCGCGAGCTCTTTTCAGCTCCCCGCCCCGCGGAGCGGAGCGACGCGCCATCCGCTCGCAAGGCACAGCGTGCCGCTGGGGCTCGCAGTGAGCAAACGCTCCTGGGGCGCTCCGCGCCCCAGGGATGGGGTGTTGAGATCATTTTGCGCTACTCCACGAGCCTGTTGAGGCCAGCTGGGGATACTCGGAGGGCGTGCTGAGGCCAGCCTAAACTGCCTGGGGCAGGCTGTTGAGGCCGGCCTGGACTACTTGGGGTGGGCCTGTTGAGGCCAGCTGGGTCTACCTGGGCGGGAGATGGCTGTTTGTGCGCAGCCCGAAGCCTTACCAGCGGTCCAAAGGGAAACAGAGGAGGAGTTTGAGAGCGGATCGCGGTAGCGCCAGGATGCTGGCCGACGACGAGGGTTTCGTGCAGGTCGCCAGCATCGCCGATTTTGACCGCCTGAAGTCGCTGGCGAGCGACCAGGCCGCGCCGCCCACGCGGGGGCCTCTTTCTGGGCAGACGAACGCGCTCGAATTTGCATCCTTGTTCTCTTTGCGGGTGCGGTCAGAGGCGGAAGCTCAGTGTCGCTCTGCTGGTTCTGGCCCACCACGCTTTGAGCGCAGCACTGTAAGCAAGTCCCGGACCCCAGGCATCAACGTTCCCAGACGTTTGGTTGTCGCCTATCCTCTGCCTCCTTACTCCTCTTTGCTCCCACCCTTTTCATTGCCCTCCTCCGCCTCTGCCTCCTCCTCCTCCGCCTCCTCTTCCTCCTCCTCCTCCTCCTCGTCATCCTCCTCCCTAGCCAACCGACCACCCACCGCCAACAACAGCAGCAAGAAGACACCGAAAGCCCCTACACAGCCGTGGCCACCGACAGAGACCGCCACCGTCCAACAGCACCAACCGCACCAAACACCACTGACCAACATCGGCCACCACCACAAAACACCGACCATCAACACTGACGAAAACACAAGCACCGACCAACAGCACTGACCACCAACAGACAACACCGACAACAAGCACGACCCTGAACATCGCCTTCATCTTCCATTTGCCCCAGGCCTTGTACTATTTTATACACGCCTTCTAGTTGTGCCAGTTGGTGCCTTATTCCACCAACTCTTCCTGTATACGCCACTTTGCTTGTCGTGTCAACTACACCTTTTGCACTCACACGATCTGAGGCTGCGGCTTCCTGCGACCTGCCCAGAGTGGCACGGGTACTTCGGTGCCCAGCATCGGCAACGCTCCGCTCTGCTCCTCGTCCTCCTCCTCCTCGCCCTCGTCATCGTCGTCCTCCTCCTCCTCCTCCTCCTCCTCCTGCTCCTGCTCCTGCTCCTGGTCCTCCTCCTCCTCCTCCTCCTCCTCCTCCTCCTCCTCCTCTTGCTCCTCCTCCTCTTGCTCCTCCTCCTCCTCTTCCTCCTCCTCCTCCTCCTCCTCCTCCTCCTCCTCCTCCCCCGCCCCTCCCCCGACGCGCGGCTGGCAGGGGCCCCCCGCCTTGCCCCCCTGCTCGAGAACACAGGGTGCCGTCATGCTGTCTGGTGGCGCTGCCGCTTCCCCGGCTCGGCTCCAGGCGTTCATCTCCGAGTGCGCGGCGGACTCGGACATCATCGAGGTGGCCTCGGGGAGGAGGACGGGGGGAGGAGGAGGAGGAGGAGGAGGAGGAGGAGGAGGAGGAGGAGGAGGAGGAGGAGGAGGAGGAGGAGGAGGAGAAGAGGAGAAGATGAGGAAGAGGAGGAGGAGGGCAGCGCGGTCCGCCCTCCTGTAGGAAATAAAGGAACTAGAGGAGCAGCAGGAGGAACCATGAGGAGGAACAGTAGAAGGAGGGAGAGGGAGAGGATGGGGAGGGGAGGCCTCTGAAAGAGCTCCAGATTGGAGGACTCCGGAGGCGGTGCCATATCCGTGGTCGAAACTTACACACTCTTGCAACATCCCGCTCAGTCTTGCTTTATCCAATTTCATCCGTCTAGTCCCATGCTCAGTTCGGCCAGATCCAGCTTCATGGCCCCTTGATCGGGCCTCGTGGCCCTGAACCTTACTCGGTGTCACGAGGACCTTCCAGGAGTGGCTTCCTAATCGAACCTCGAAACTCCATGTTGGAAAATTGCACGCCTTCCCCCGACGAAGCAGGGATCCCGATCTGCGTCTGGGCGCCCCAGTCTGCCCAGGAGCACGGGGCTTCCGCATCGGGGGCCTTTCGCTGATCTGTCGTCGACGTATCGTCGATTCCAAGTTATCGTCGCCGCCCTTGGCCAGTGCCTCCTACCCGACATACAATGAAGTCGGGCATGTCCCTGTACAGGAGGTAAGTTAAAACATCGTAAAACAAGTATGGGGACGATGTTTTGTTTACTATTTTCAACTATTTTGTTATTGTGAATCTTGATCATTTTCCGTCCAAAATTCGCCTCCATGAGGACACGTCCGACCTAAACATGCAATGTTTGGATGTCTTCAGTGCGCGGTTCCCGGAAGCCCCGCCCAGGGCCGGCTTTTCCTCCCGAGCCGTGTTTTGGCGGCCGCAGCGCCACGTAATCTGCACGAGCGAAATGGGCACGGAAAGACTGGGTACAATGCCCAACAGCGGATCCTGTTCATTTTGCACAGGATTCGCTGTCCACGCCGCCGCGGCCTGTGTCCATTCGAGACAGAAGGCCGCCTGCCCAACAGCGGCCGCTGTTGGTTTGGGACAACATGTGGTGTTGGGCATTGTACCCATTTTTTCCGTACCCATTTCGGGCGTCCAAGGGTAAGAGGCCCCGGGGGCCGAGGTTTGAGAAACAGTGTGTTGTGTTTGCCAGGACGCACGTCTGCTCTCCTCTCCCCTCACTTGAGCAATGGGCCTCCCTTCTCCGGAGGGGAATGACAGAGACACGATGAATCACAGACTCCCAGGGAAATATGGGAAGTGAGGGGGAGACGAAGAGACGAAACTCCAGAACATCTGAACTGGTAAGGTCAGGCCTGTATGCCCACAAGGGGCGGCCACGTAGGGCACAGGCGGGGAAAATACTGCAGGCTCTGCGGCTGGCGCTGCAAACAAGGGCGCGCGAGTCGGTTCACGAGGAGGGGGGGAAGAGGAGAAGAGGGGAGGACGACGAGAAACTAGCAAGCACTCACGTGTCGTAGGAAATCTTCCTCCATGCGCTCCCACGCATATGGGTCTCCAGCTGCCGCATCGCCAAACTCGAACTCACGGCGAAATTATGGTACGTCGTCTTCCCAAGTTTTGCGTGGTCGTCCTTGGGGTTTGCTTCCAACAGGTGACCATTTGAGAACACGCGACGCCCACCGACCAGCAGGCAGTCTCGCAACGTAGCCAGCGAATCGCCACGATTGGCGCAAGTGAACTTCCGACCACAACTTGAGATGGCTATCTTCCATGATTGCGAACATGCGCTCGTGCCAAGAATGTGGAATACCGTGCCAAGCACTCGACCAATCAAGTCCACCTGGTGGCCCCTTTACTTGGCGAATCAGTTTGCGGCATACAACATCAAGTTGGTCCCGTCCAGTTGCATAGACCACGTGGTGAGCTGGGGCAAACAAAGCGATCGGTGTAATAATTGCATGGGAGTAATTCGAACGAGCTGCTGCAGAGACGCGCTTGTCTGTCAACACCCACCGGCTCGCGTAGAACGCCTTCGGGGCGGCCTGGAGATGGTACTCCTGCTCCCGCTTGAGAACGTCCGTCGACAAACGCATCCAAGCCACTGATGGGAACCCACAAGCTTGATCGACATGCCAGATGATAACATGAGCGTCTCCAGTGGCTGAGCCTCCGTCGTGAGGGCCACTGTTTCTTCTGCGTTCAATATTAAGCCCACTGAAGCTGGTTCATCAACATGTGATGTGAGAAGGGTTGCGGTCTCGTTTTGATACTTGGCAAAGAACACCACGTCGTCGGCAAAATGCAAGTCCAATAATCGAAGCAACCCGTCTCCCAAATCGAACCTTGCAGTTCCGGATTTCTGACGCCAGCGCATTGCCCATTCTAGTAAACAACAGAATAACCGAGGACTGAGAACACAGCCTCGTCGAACCCCAGCTGAGACGCGGAACGGGTCGCTGCAATCGCCTTGTCCGATCACTTTGCCCTGTTTGCCAGTCCGAAACACCATGTTCGCTCAACGCCAGCGACAGAGCTGACCACTCCACACGATCGAAGGCCCTAGACAAATCGAGGCTCACGGCCCAAACACGAGTGCCTACCGATGAATTGTTGTCAGGAGGTGTTTTTCAATACGAGAACCGGCCCGGAAGGCGTGCTGTTCCTCGGGCCGTCGCTGGTCCACTCCGTTCTCGAGGCGGCCCAGCAGCAGATACGCAAGCAGCACTGAACAGATGGGATTTGTGCCTAGGCCTGGGATTTGTGCCCATTTCTGTTTCTTGTGTGTCCAAAGTGTCCAAATACACAACTATCGAGCATCCTGGGATTTGTGCCTGTTACTTTGTGTGTCCCCTGGGATGTGTGCGCCTACTTCTTGCGTGCCCTGATATACAAATAGGTCGAGCATCCTGGGATGCGTGCCCAGTTCTTTGTGTGTCCCTGGGTCCCTGTTTCATCGGGCGTCTGGGCCCCAAGGTTCGAAGAGGAACACAAACGGCCAAAGAGGAGGAGGAGGAGGCGGAGGCGGAGGAGGAGGAGGAGGAGGAGGAGGAGGAGGAGAGGAGGAGGGGGAGGAGGAGGAGGAGGAGGAGGAGGAGGAGGAGGAGGAGGAGGGAGGAGGAGGGAGGGAGGAGGAGGAGGAGGAGGAGGAGGAGGAGGGAGGAGGAGGAGGAGGGGGGATGGGGAGGAGGAGGAGGAGGAGGGGGAGGAGGAGCAGGGGGAGGGGGCGGAGGAGGAGAGGTCGACGGTCCGAGCGGACTTATGGGCTCTGCGCTGGACCACCTGGCGGCGCCCCCGGCGCTGCCCCTGGCGCGCTCCGCGCACCAGCCAGGGGTGCCCAGCGCAGATCCAAGAACTCCGCGCGGACTTTCGAATCCGAGGCGGAAATTCATGCGTGGAGGATCAACTTTCGGGGACCTCGGCAGGCGGCGGATATGGACATCTTCGGGCCCCCGGGGGCCAAAACAAATGTCCATATCCACCGCCCGCTGGTCGGTTCCCGGGCGGTGAACGTGGATAACTTCCCGCTTCGTATCCAACGTCAATAGCCAAGACGCTGAGGTTAGGTGGGGGCAGCACAACCCACCCCCACCCCCACCCAGGGCACCCACCTCCGACCTGGTGATCCATGGTGCCCTGGGTGGGGGTGGGGGTGGGTTGTAAGAGCCGCGGGGCCCAAAAACCCACCCCCACCCCAACCGAGGGCACCCTGGATCACCAGGTCGGAGGTGGGTGCCCTGGGTGGGGCCGTGGGTGGGTTGTGCTGTCCTCATTAGGGACCGCTCTGAGCTCGGGAGGGGCCCGGGGCTTCGGGGCTCGACCTTTGCACACGTGCAGCGCGGGACGTGCTCGTGGCCCGGGCCCGCCGTGGCCAGAGGGGCCCCCTTCTCGTTCCTCGTCGGGCGTTCCTCCTCTCGTGCCGCGAGGACTCCGCAGTGGTGATGGGCCTCTTTTCCACCGCTACCACCGTAAGTTGGAGGGGGAGGGGGACCTCCTCCTCCTCCTCCTCCTCCTCCTCTTCCTCGTCCTTCTCCTCTTCCTCGTCCTCCTCCTCCTCGTCCTCCACCTCCTTCCCCCCTCCAACTTCTGGTGGTGGTAGTCGAAAACAGGCCCATCAAGTGGGGGCCCATGCCAAGAAACACCCCTGCTTGCCTCCAGGGTGCCCTGGGTTTCTTGCGTTTCGATGGTTTTGCGACGGAGAGCGCGACGTTCCCACACCAAAGATCGGTGGACGTCCTGGGGTCTCAGGGCTGGGTTTCTTGCGGAAGGTGTCTTGTGGACTGGCCTCCACTGTACGTTCATGCCGTTGTTTTCTTTCTCTGCAGGTGAGCGGCGCAAAAGCGAGCGGGGTCGTCTGCTCCGACATCGGCGCGTAAGCTCCCCGCGTAAGGTCGCGCGTGCGCGCCCTCGTTTCTCATGCAACGCGCCCCGCGGACGGCCCGCGTAAGCCGCGGCGTGATGTCGCCATGCCATCTCGCGGAAGACCCGCTTCTTTTCGTCGCCCAGTTAGCAATCTTTCTGATAGCAGGAGGGCCCTACATATGTTTATGCCGCTTTTGTTTCTTCCTCTACTCTTCGGCGAGCCCAGGGGGAAGTGAGAAGGGGCGGGCCTTCTCAAAGGCTCGGGAGTCCCACAATCTTATGAGGGGTTCTCTAAGTCTTCCCCGAAGACACAGACAACTTCTCAGAAAGCCAGAATGCTTCTTAGAAGCCCCGCTGCCTTCAGAGAAGGCCTTCCGGTGTGTAATAGGGCGTTGAACACATTGTTTTTGCTCGGCTTGGGAGGAGAACTTCGATTGGAAGCGCATTTAGCCACGTCCTACCTCTGAGTGCTGCGGCGCTGTCCACCCACTCTGCCATGGAGCGCGCCTCGGCCCGACGCGGGGGTCCTGTCATGTCCTGTTCTTCTCCGTCTCATTTCCCCCCCCCCCTCGGAGGGAGGAGAAGCGATGCCAACACCACCAGGGGGCCAAACTCCAGCGAGGAACGATGCCTCCCCGAGCTGGAGGCTGGGGATGTCTCGAGCGAGAGGGGGGGGACCACACCACCAGGGAATCCCCCCTTGCCTCCTCGCATCTCCTCGCCCTGGTGGTGCTGGTGTCGCCTTTCCTTCTTCCCCCCCCCGCTCGCCGCCGATCTACAGGTGTCGCCGCGCGGGGAGGCCCTACGGCGGCGCGCCGGGGCGGGGTCCTGAGGGTCTCGGTGGGCCCTGGGCTCCCCCCCCCCTCAGCGGGGGGGTCCGCCCCTTCGCTGGGCCTCCGCGCGGGCGCGCGGCTTTTGTTGGGGGGCGCGGCGCGCGGCGCGCCCGCCGGCGTGCGCGCGCGTGAAAGGGCCGAGGGCCCGCAGGGATGGGGGGATGGCGGGTTGGAGGCGGGGGCCCAGGTGTGGGGGCGTCGGAAGGCGAGGGCCTTGGAGAGGGAGGAGGGAGGGAGGAGGAGGAGAGAATAGGAGGGAGGGGGAGGAGAGAAGAGTAGAGAGGAGGAGGAGGAAGGAGAGGAGGAGAGGAGGAGGAGCGGAGGAGGTGGAGGAGGAGGAGGAGGAGGAGGAGGAGGAGGAGGAGGGGAGGGAGGAGGAGGAGAGAGGAGGAGGAGGAGAGAGAGGAGGAGGAGGAGGAGGAGGAGGAGGAGGAGGAGGAGGAGGAGCGCGCAGCGACCGGCTGCATAAGGTGCAGCCTGATCAAAGGTGGGATCCGCATGGATCCGAGGATTCAAGAGCAACCGCCCGCGAGTATGAGTAGGATGAGGAGGAGGGATGAGGAAGAGGAGGAGGAGGAGGAGGAGAAGGAGGAGGAGGAGGAGGGGGAGGAGGAGGAGAAGCAGGAAGAAGAAACTGATCAGGAGGAGGAGGAGGAGTGGGAGGAGGGGGAGGAGGAGGAGGAGGAGGAGGAGGAGGAGGAGGAGGAGGAGGAGGAGGAGGAGGAGGAGGAGAATGGGGAGGAGGAGGGGGAGGAGGGGGAGGAGGAGGAGGAGGAGGAGGCGGCCCAGGAGGATGAAGGCTGCGATTCTGACGCGGTTGACGTTGCTGTCCCTTGCCGCCTCTCCCCCAGCCCCTCCCCGGGCCATCGCGCGCAGCCGCGCGCGACCTTCTTGGCAGCGACGCCCGCTGGTGCGCGCTCGGGTCTCGGCACGCCCCTCGCAAGGATCGCGCCCCTGCGTCACAGGGGGCGCCCCGAGAGGGGCCCCTGCCGGTCGAGGATCGGAGGAGTTGGCATCTCCTCCTCGGCGGCAGGCCGGCGGAAGGTCGTAAACTGAGGCCACCTCCGCCGGCGGAAGCCGGCAGAAGGGCGGCGGAAGGTGGCGAAAGTAAAAGATGCACCCCCAAGGGACAAAACCGTTTTTTGGGTTCCGGGTTTCCGAAGTCCGCGACCTGGAGAGCCCCCACGTCACGTGAGGCTTCACGCTTCCGACGTCAGATCCGGCGACGACACCAGCACCGACTCCAGCGCCAGCTCTATCACACCATCACAGCAGCACGATTCGTCACATCTTCGCTGCGTCTTGCGTTGCGGTGCGACTTTTGGGTCTCCGAGCTGACGTCGAGGCCTCTGTGCGCGCCCGGGGCGGAAATTCGGGCGGTTGCTCCAATCCGTCATCGCCTATACGCTGGCGCCTACGCTGGCACCAGCACCACCGGCTGCACCAGCACCGACGGCAGCATCGACGCCAGCACCAGCGCCAGACCCTCCATCAGCACTGACGGCAGCACCGACGCCAGCCCAAACTCCAGCTCCTACGCCGGCACCTGCGCCAATGCTTATACCAGCGCCGACGTCAGCTCCACCGCCTGCGCCTACGCCAGCACCAAGGCCAGGGCCTACACCAGCACCAACGGCAGCACCGACCGACGCCACCATGTAGGCCAGCGCCTACGCCAGCGCCGACGCTAGTACCGACACCAATATCAACGCCATGTCTTTCTTGAGCGAGAGAGCGGGCCATCTCGTCAATTGCGGGGCGTGTGGCATGTGCCGCGGCTGCCGCCCGCAGCACTGACGCCAGCACCGACGCCAGCACCTACGCCAGCGCTTACGCCAGCGCCGACGCCACCACCGATGCCAGCACCGACGCTGGCACCTACGTCGGCACCAGCGCCAGCGCTTGCACCCAGCGCCAATCTCAGCACCGAAGCCAGCACGCGCGCTAGCGCCGACACTGGCACCAGCGCCAGCGCCTGCACCAGCACCGACGCCAGCATCGACGCCAGCACCAACGCCGGCGCCTGAGCCAGCGCCGATGACGACAGTGACGCCAGCTTCACCGCCAGCGCCTACGCCGACACCAATGCCAGTGCCTACACCAGCACCGACGTCAGCACCGATGCCCGCACCAACGCTGGCGCCCATGCAGGTACCAATGCACGCGCCACATCAGCACAGACGCCAGCACTGACGACAGCCCCAAAGCCAGCACCTACGCCTGTGCTGGCGCCAGCACCGATGACAGCATCAACTCCGGCGCCTTCGTCTGCATCAGCGCTGGCGCCTACACCAGCGCCAACGCCAGCACACGCTGGCGCCTACGCCAGCTCCAACGCCAGCTCTGGCGCCAGCACCAACGCTGGCACCAGCACCTGCGCCTAGGCCAGCGCTGCCAGCACCGACGCCAGCATCAACGCTTACGCCTAACCGGGCGCCATTGCCAGCACCGACGCCAGCACCGGCAGCGTCCCGGATGGCCTCGCTCGCATGGGCGTCGACGGCAGCACCAACGGCACCAACGGCAGTGGCCGCGGACAGAAGCATGTAGCCCCCACGGCATTTCTGGCCACAGTGCCGACAGCACCCCTGGCGACCTCGCTCACACGGACGTCGACAGTAGCTGCCCAAGGCACTTCTGACAGAAGTGTCGTATGCGACTCCCACGACACTGGTGCTCAGCCCGACGGGTTGCAGCAGTACGACTTTGAGCTAAACGACGGCTTTCTGCAGTACGACGTTGTGCAGCACGTGACGCTGTGCCACGACGGAGTGCCACACCCGCGCCTGTGACGCCCCAGCACCACTACTTCGATAGCATGGCGATGATGGTCACGGCGGAGCAGCACGACTATGTGCCACACGGCGGCTTGCATCGGCACGATGCTGAGCAGCAGGGCAGCTCGCCAGCAGCGCCAAGGCCCAGCAGCGCTGTGCAGTCCCAGCACCCGCAGACGCAGCCGCAGCAGCCACAGCAGCACGAGATGCGCCCCGGGGGCATCCACGTCGCTGGACACCACGTCTTGGCGCTGCGCCACGGGTACTTGCAGCACGGCGTGGAGCAGTACGGCCGGGCGCGGAAGGACGACACCGACCTCTCTGGGTGCGACGGGTCGATGTGAGTTCTGTCGGCGGGCCTCCTGTCATGGGGCGTTCTGAAAGCGCGCATGTGCCACCTCCTCTCCTCCTCCCTCCTCGCTCTTCCTCCGTCGTTGTTGCCCTCCTCCGTGTCTCCAGCGGCTGGCGGGCTCGAGCCTGCCGCGGGCTGGACTGCCATGCGTGTCAGCCATTAGCGCGGCCACGCGTGGCCGACACTGGGTTCGTGCAGAAGGCTCGCCTTCCTTGCCGCCCTGTGTTGGCCAGGCGAGTATCGCGCTAGTTTCGGTATCAGTGTTGGCTGGAGATGCGCGCTAGTTTCGGTATCGGTGTCGGCTGGAGATGCTCCAAAGTTAACTGTCCACGTTGCACGCGCGAGCTGGTTGTTGGCACCTGTTTCCTTTTTTTGTTTCTCTCTCTCTCTCTCTCTCTTTGCCCGCCGTCTCCTTCGTCGGGTTCGTGGTGCCAGTTTGTTGGTCCAGGCTGGCTGGGCAGTTCGAGGCCGATGAAGGCCCTCCACCCCACGTGCGCTGCGGCAGCATGCAGGTGTCCTCCATCCTCCTTCGCCCCTTCCTTGCCTGCTCTGTCTCTTTCTCCCAATTAGTGCAGTGGTGCTGCGTGCATGCAGGCGGAGGCCGTTTTCCTCGCCCGGAACTGTCCGACCCTGCAGGCCGCCGCCCAAGTTTACCGGGTCCGCCTTAGGCTTGCGCAGTGCTCTCGGCGGGTTTGGCTCTCGCCCCCCGCGCATCCTATATCATGACGTGTTGGTTTCTGTGTATTTGCTGGTCGGGCCGTTCTGTATATTCCAGCTCGTTCGCAGGCACGGGTGCTATACGTTTTCCGGCAAATTCGTATCTAGTGTTGTCTGTATATTCGTCTTTCCGGTCCCTCTCTTCTCCCACTTCCGTCGCGGTTGGACCACCTTACGCATGCAATGTTTCAAGGCTGGTTGGTGCGCTTTGGGCATACAACTTTCGAGATGCATTCCAGGCGCGCTAGTGATTAAATTGTATGCGAAACAATGAAGCTCTCACCTCCAGGAAGCTTCCACATTTTAGCGTACCCAACGCTGCCTTCGCACCAGGCTCGTGGTGGGGTCAGGCGGCGCCCCGGCTGGTGGTGTTGCGCTCGGAGGTCTATGGCCACTCTTTCGCGGACTTCACACTGTGTCCAGTTCAGGTCTTTTGATCAGCCCACGGCTTCTCCCAGGGTCTCCGCAGTGGTAGTCGCGCCTTCCTGTCCCAGGCTCCCGCCGCCATGATCGCCGCGCTGGAACTTACGGCGCCGGCCTGCGACCCTTGTAGAACATCTGTGTGCTTTCAGTGTATGTTTGTCCCCCCCACTTTAATTAGTCGGTGTGCTTTCAGTGTACGTTTGTCATCCCAGGGTCGTTCACTCCATGTTTGCCCCCGCGTGTGCAACACATGCTCATATCGCGCGGCAGGCCGAGATAGCTGGTGGTTCTATCACGCTGTCCGCCCACCTCTCCTCCCTCCAAGCAGACTGCCAGCGGGCGCGTTCGCATTCCCTTCCCCCGCCCGCCTCGGCACACGCCTAAGACACGCGGTGCCCCGCGCGGGGTTCCGTCCGCGCCCCCCGCGTGAGGGCGCGCACCGCCACCGCGCGCCAGCGCGCTCCGCCCACTTCGACGCGCGCCGCGCGGGTCGTGCCCCACGGGGAGATCCGCCGGAGGCACCGCGTGGGCGCGCTCGCGCGGTGAGGTCCGCCCAGTGCTGCGCCGCACGGGCTGCGGCGCGTCACCGCAGGCTTGCTCCACGGGCTGCTGTCCGCACTGCCCCGCGGCGCGCGGTGTGGGGGGGGAGGAGCACGCCGTACGCTCCACGCAGCTCCGAGGGGCGGGACTCTTCCCCATGCCCGTGTTCATCAAGGTCTGGGTGTCTCTCCTCCTCTTCCTCCTCCTCCTCCTCCTCCTCCTCCTCCTCCTCCTCCCGTCCCGCTGGAGGGCTCCCAACCGAGGCCTTGCGAGGATCAAAAGCCGACGAGGTCTTCGGTCGTCGATGGGCAATGGGCC